CTTTCTAACTGGAAGATGTCCTATGGAACTAGGAGAGTATATTGCTAGTGCTCCTCTCACACCTCTTGTCAAGTCTTGTGGTGGTATTTGTCCTATAGCTATGAGTACTATTTGGCGCGTCTGGTTTCGAAGGTCGGTGCTGTTATGGTTGGTCTGGGTTTGGCGATTGGCAGTGGCGGCTTGCCACCTTGCCTTTTGCCTATGGCGAGTTTGGTGTCTATTTCGTAGTGATGTTCGTCATTATGCTTTTCTTGCTTTGCGGTTACAATCTGCTTGGTTACAGACAAAGCTTCTACGGCATGTTGGCATTGTTGGCCTTGGTCGAGCCTTTGAGGATGAGTTGAGCTTGTTCAATAGAACGGTGGAGTATGACATTTTGAGTAACCCTAGGGAGGTCGTTGCCTCTAAACTCATGAAGAAATTGGCAGATATATATTTCACAAAGGTTACCGATTCTGCAGAATCCACCTTCTTTTTATCTCCTCGTCAATCAGCATTGTGGAAATCGCAGCCAGGGAGATCACGCCTCTGCTTGGCTTCGGGCAGTTCCTATTTCGGGGTTGGGTCAGACGATGAAGGCAAAGACTTACCGATGTGTGTTGTGCTACCGCTTGCATGGGTGTTGCATTGTTCTCTGTCTCGACGTCGTGCTCTGCTTGTTCAAGGGTTTTTACTGGGGATATTTTCGGTGATCATGCGGTGTCGTGTGCTGGTATAGTGGGTATTAAACATCGGCATAATGTTGTGCTCGATACCATTGTTGATGTTTGTTATCGATCTTGGATTTCAGTTAGAAAGGAGGTTGACATTGGGTTGTTTGGAGGGAACGATGGGGACCTCAGACCTGCAGATGTGTTACTTTATTCTTGGGATCGTGGTCGCGATATCTGTGTTGACTTGACAGGGTCTTCTCCTTTGACACAGTCTGGGTTATCTGACTTTGTTCCTGGACAGGTTGTGGCTGATGCAGCTCATCGAAAGCGGTTCAAGTACGAATCCAGTTGTCGGGCAATTGGATATGACTTCCTTCCTTTCTCTTTCTCTACACTTGGGGAATTAGAGAAGGAGGTGGTTGCATTGCTGAAGCGGATCCAGAAATTCTCAAAGACTCAAGACATTGGGGCACGTGTTGCTGCTCATATCTTCACTGGAATAGGATTTGCTATAGCTAGAGAAGTGGGGGCTCAGATTGTATCTCGACTTCCCACTAATTTTTTGTAGGTTATATGACTTTGTCTTTTTTAAGATAATAATAATAATAATAATAATAATAATAATAATAATAATAATAATAACAATAATAATAACAATAATAATAATAATAAAATACTCTGTATACACATTACGCATATGATATAGCCAAAAAAAGTTGCGATAGATTACTAAAGACAAAGGGATAATTTATAAATAAATATAGCACTTGTTTGATTTGTTAACGGTAGCACTTGGGACTTGGGAGTCAACAAGCATGCATTGATCTAGCACTCAAAACTCTTATTGACTCGTACCAAAAACGATTAATTATGACAAAGTAATCACTGCAAAATTTAAGGCATGATGATGTAAGAATATATGTATACCAAGTTTGAAGGCTTTTTGCATATAAGATTCTACAATTTTCACTCGTTTCACATTGTTAACTTTAGACTAAGTTAAAGAGCATTAATGCATGGACTATTTTAGATGCATTTTTTCGTAGTGGGAGGCCATTGCATGTCTTTATTTACCAACTTCTTTCTACTTCCATTTATTTTTAGAGGGAAAATATTGGTTACATGTTTTCTTGTCTCTTAGAAAAATTGGCAAAAAATAAAGGTTAAAAGGAAAAGTTTGGAGATCCTCCTCTTGATTCTTAGGAGACTGTTAGTTCCCAACTAATCCAACTTAAGACTATTTAATCTTGTAAAATATGTATTAAAAGATCTTTACTCGTGTAATCATAAGATGAAAAGCAAAGGGGTCACCAATGCAAGGTTTTTCTATCAATCAACTTAACTGACCCCAAGCTACAAATTGATATGTCTAATATTCAATATTTATGCACTTATATAATATATATATATAGCATGGAAATGTGTAAATAATGTGAAAAAAGTTGAGTATGATGATATGGTATGATGAATGAGTAATACAAACATTAAGCACATGTTTTAATATTGATAATAAACTTTAAACATACTTTTTATACAAGTTTATATACTACCTCCGTTAATTATTACGTGCAACAAATGAATATTTTAGTCTTATAAATAATACCCTTTTATTACACATAATAGTTAACAAAGGTAGTATATGCATGGTTAAGTAATACTCAATTTTCATGAAATTATAATGTAATATTTTGGATTTTATGTTATCTTAAGTTGGGTCGAGAACATGTCGATTTTAAGTAGGTTGGGTAAATCAAGACTCCAGTTGTTATCAGACATATCATCATTTCTGTCATTTTCTTAGGTTGAATCAGTTTCAGTTGATTGACGAACAAGTCTATAACAGGTTAGCATGTCAGGTCCTTCAATCATGTTGAGTCTGCTACAAGCCAGGTTTTCTGCGATTAAATGTTAACATTTTTACGGATCAAATCAGAAGTGAACAACTCTACTTTTAATAGATAATTTATTCCTAAATGTTATTGTTCTTCAATGAAGCTTAGCTTTTACAGTAACTTTTTGTTTTCTAATTTTTTCAAAGTTTAATCTATATAATTCAGTATGAACTCGAACTTTTTCATAGGCTTTTAGACTAAGCATGTCGTTGGTTTGACAATGTGCGTATTCAAACATCGAAATGACATCAAAGTATATGCAAATGAAGACTTCATTGGAATTGTGCATGTGGTCGTTAATTTCCTTCCCTACATCAAGGAATGACTCACGATCGTAGCCCGGATTTTATGTCCCACAATTTACTCCGTGCGTTTTTCATTCAATTTTGGTATTGACTTTTTTATTTTACCAAATCTATCTTTCTCAATGACATTATGATTAAGTTGGGAAATAGACTTATTGTAAGTGTCTATTGATGACAAGATAATTGTCTTATGGTATATGTGTTATGCGTCAATTAATTTAGTTCCCGTCGTAAAAAAATAGTTAGATTAAAGTATTGGGATTGATGTTAAAGATTTGGATCAAATTTTGTCAACATCAATGTCTTTTGTGTATTCAAACTATAAGAATAATAATAAATTAAATAAATAAACCTAAATGTCTTACAAATTTTTCCCATTAGACAACTCAATCATACTCACAATTACACTTTTTTTTTTTTAAACAACAGTTACACTTTGTTTGAAAATACATAAAAAAAAAAGAAAAAAAAAAAGAAAGAAAAAAAGGGTAAGAGCAGGAAAAGGAAAAGAAAGGGAGAAAGAAGTGGATTTTCATTTTCCCTCTGAATTAGAGATAATATACTCCCTCTGATTATTTTGCTCTTCCCTTTGAAATCGTAGAGTAAATTAAGAAAAGTGGGTCTTGATGAGTGTTAAAAAATTAAATTTACAGAGATTCTAATTTACATTAAATAGTCCCATTCTTCTTCAAAAAAAAAAAAATTAAATAAAGGTTGGCCTAATTAGGGCTAAAGCTTTGGGCCATGGCCAAGTTTATACCATAATAGCGGGATTTTGGACCATTGCATTTTATAACTAAAAATTAATTTTTAAGTTGCCCAAAACCCTAATTTTATTTTTTATTAAATCGAGTTGTCTTGACCAAGCCCAAAATTCGAGCCCATGAAATTTGCCTAAGCTCGAGTATATTTTGGGTGGGGCCAGGCTAACAGGGCGCAAACTACTTATGATCAGTTTAGAACCGCAAATTTTAACATGCACCATTGTGTGCACCACCAGTAATAAGACGCCACGTGTTTTGCAATTTGCCAGTAGAGCTTTCTTCTTTCAAAATTTCAACGTTTTTCCCCTTTCTATTTCACGGGTTCTTTCTTATTTTTTTAATTTTTTTATTTATATATTTCCTAATTTCTCAATTCTCTTCTTCTTAAACTTTCCTGATTTCTGAATCATCATAATTTCTCTCTCCTCTATTTTTCTCTCTTCGTTTTGATTGAATGCGTTTATCACCATTGTTGATTACTCTGTTTTGATTGAATTTTTCCATCAATATTTTTCGTCGTCATGGATTAATTTCTATACCTGAAGTAATCGACAGAGTAGGTCGTTAGATTTCTTATTTCAATTGATATTGATTGTTAATTAGGTTTTTTGTTGTTAATGCATGTTATTGATTTTACAATTGTTATTGATTTTATTAATGTTTTTTTATTAATGTTGATTTGAATTCTTCATATAATTATTAGGTTTAATTAGTTCTGATTTCATATAATTCAATTAATCAATTGATGAACTGATCAAACGATTGATTGAATGGTTTTAATTAGCTGCTGAAATAGTGATGAATTTGATTTTTAATTTTAATTGATTAATTTGTGATGAATTTGATCACTCGATGAATTGATTAAACGATAAATCAATTTTGTTTGTGTTTAATATGATTCTGAACATTCGGTTCATATGATTACTTACTGATGAATTTATTTGATGAATTGAAAGATATTCATATATTTTAGTTGTTATTCAGTAATTATTGATGAATTTGAGATTTAATTGTAATTAAGCTGCTGAAATTGTGTTTATTTTTGAATTTAATTGCTTAATTTGCGATGATTTTGAGTTTTAGCTTTAATTCAATTGCTGAATTTGATTATTTCATTTTTATTTCATGAATATAATTTGTTTATATCATGATTCTGAACTTTTGGTTCATTTAATTCGAATATTGTATTTTCCATTGTATTTATTATGAAAATTATTGTTAGCAGTATTATATTATGAACACGATTGTCATGGTTATGAACATATTTAGTGAGTTTTATGAACCTTTTCGTCTTACATAACCTAGTAATGGTTATTATGAATCGTGTTTGTTTATTGCAATGAGTACGTATGAGTTGTTTATAAGGAAAGTGAAGTGTATGAATTAATGAGGAAACAAGTTAGAAGTGATAGTGAAGCATATGAAATGTATAATGATTATGCATTTAGGCATGAATTTAGTATTAGGAGGGGAAAAAATCAATATGTTGGTAATTGGAGAGGCAGAAATTACTTATGCTCAAATGCTGGTTTGAAGGATACTCCATTCCTCTAATATCCCTAGGAAGTTTTCTAAGTTGGATTACCATACATGTTGTGAAGCTTTTATTGATTTTGTAATTGACAAAGGTGTTTGGACTGTTGTAAAACATAATATGGATCACAATCATGCTATGATTCCAACTGAGAAGAGACATCTCCTCAGGTCTCAAAGGAAAATTCAAGGTGAGCATTTGAAGTTCATAAGTACTATGAAGACTAGTGGAGTTAGGGTTTCCGATTCTTTGCGTTCTTTGCGGAAAGAAGCCGGTGGATCTCCTAATCTTTGCTTTACTTCTAGTGATGCTTACAATGCTTTGGCTACTGAAAAAGCTGGCAGATTAGATTGTTGTGATTGCAATACTTTGATCAAGTACTTTGCTGCAAGTCAAGCCAAAGAATTTGATTTTTATTATGAGTTTGAGGTGGATGTAACTCGTTCCCTTACAAGTGTATTTTGGAGGGATGGAAGACTGCGAAGAGACCATGAAGTTTTTGGTGATTTAATGGTGTTTGATACCACATATAGAACCAATAAGTATGGCATGATTTGTGCACCTTTTGTTGGTATGAATCATCATTGCAATAATGTGATGTTCGGAATGGGTTTTGTCCTTGATGAGAAGACCAGTAGTTTTATATGGTTGTTTGAGGCTTTTATGAGATCTATGGGAGGATGTCGTCACCCCGCAATGTTAATGACAGATCAAGCACCTTCAATTGCTGCAGCAATTAGAGAAATTTTTCCAAGCACTCGGCATCGTTTGTGTACTTGGCACCTTGGTGAGAATTCAAAGACCAATATAGGAGCACTTAGAATCTTGAAGGGGTTTTCAAAAGTATTCGACTATTTGCTTAAGTATTGCGAATGTCCTGCTGAATTTGAACTTTACTGGCCAAGGTAAACATTCTTTGATTTATTTTGAACTATGAAATGTAGTTTTTGAACTTTAATGTTTGCAATCTGAACTATTACATTTACATATATGAGGATTTAAGTTACTGAAATTAACATTATAGACTTCATAATGAACATCTTTAATAAAAATATGAACTTCTATGTTTAAGATATGAACATTTCTCTATAGGAAAAATTGACGCGAATAATCCCAACTTTGCTCGATTCGCTCAAAATAATCCCAACTATCGATCATTTTTAAATAATCCTAACTTTATACCCCGATCTCTTTAAATGGTCCCAACAAGTTAAAGCACCTACTGTAGCCGGTTTGTAGCTGACGTGGCACCCAACGGTTATAATAAGTTGAATTTAGTTTAATTTCCCTTTAATTAAACGTTAATTGGAAAAACCAACCCCCCTATTTGTTTTAGGGGGTTGTTAAATATCGCCCTCGAATTTCCAACTAATGCCCGCAAAATAAAATATATTTTAAAAATTTACCCTTATATTAAAAAAAAAAAAAATTACCCCCCAAACCCTCACTCCCTCTTCTCTCTCTTAAAAAACAATTCTCTCTCTAAACCACCACCACCACCTCCTTTTACCACACACCACTACCACCACCACCACCACCTCCTCTTTTAACCACCCACGACCACCTTCTTTTACCTCTAGTTTCTCGATCTACAGAGTTAGCCGCGGAAATGACGAGGAGGGACAAGAGGAAGGCGGTCACCGGAGACAACTAATAATAATAACAACTAATAACAATAATAATTCTAACAACGCACAACTAATAATAATAAAAACTAATAATGATAATAATAATAATTCAAAAAATACACAACTAATTATAATAGCAAAAACAAGTAATTATAATAAAAAAAACACAACTAATATAATCAAAATAATAATAATAACAAATACGTGAAATTCAAAACCAAAAAGAAAATAATAATTTGAAATTCCCAGGAAAACGCCAAGAAATTCCGAAAAACCTAGGCAGAAACGCCTAGTTTTTTCGAAACTGCCTAGGGTGTTCGAAAAAACTAGGCGTTTCTGCCTAGATTTTTCGAAATTTCTGGGCGTTTTCCTGGGTATTTCGAAAACAAAACAATTAAATAATCGTATCGATTCCGTACGGTTCGATGAGCCTCCGGCGAGCAACGTAGGTGGTGTTTCGGATCTTTCGTTGTCTTTTATGAGATCCAACGAATTAGGTTTTGCAAAATTTAAATTATTTGTTTGATTTTGAAAATTATATATGGTGGTTGGTGGTTAAACGTGATTGTTGGTGGCCGGTGAACACTAGAGAGAACGATTAAAATGTTTGTGTAGGGTAAAAGTGTTAAGTTTAGGTAAAAATAATTATTTTAATAATAAGGCTACGTAAGTCATTTTAAGTTATTTTGCGGGCGATAGTTAGAGATTCAAGGGCGACGTTTAGCTTTCCACTTGTTTTATTTGCTCTGTATTCTTCATCTCTCCATTCATTTCGCATTTTTGCTCTGTTCATCTTTTTTTTTTCTTTTCCTGATCAATTGCAATGGGTAGTAGAAGGCAAACAAGTTCCAGTGGCTCTTCTTCTTCAAGAACAGTTGGGGGGTTTTCACCTAATTTAAAGTGCAATTGTGGGCATGATGTTGTAGTTCGAACGGTGAAGAATGGTGTAAATATTGGAATGAAGTTCTACGGTTGCCCTGCATGTGGTCATTAAGTGTTTTGTTTTTCTTTAGTATAGTTAAATTAAACTAATTATGTGTTTAAGCAAAAAAAAGGAATTGGGTTGAAACTAGGGTTTATGATTGCAATTGATTTGGGGCTTTTAATGTGCAGGAGACTAATTGTGAATTTTTTCAATGGATTAATGTGAATAATCCGAATTTTAAGAAGGATGTATTATGGTTGAAGAAAATTATGGCTGGCAATTTTTTTTTTTTTTTTCCATTTTGTGAGAAAATTGGTGAGGTAAGTTTCAGAGGAGCAATGAGGGTAGTTGGGAGGGAGAAAGAGATGATGTGGCATCAATTAGGAGGGGAATTAAAGTCCAACAGTCAACAAATAAAGACTTGACCTTTTTAGCCGGTTTCAAGTCGCTTGGAGAGATCGGGATATAAAGTTGGGATTATTTAAAAATAATCAATAGTTGGGATTATTTTGAGCGAATTGAGCTATATGAACTTATAATTATTTAATATGAAACTGTTATTTTGTGTTTAGTCGGTTAATTTGAACACTTTTCTTAATAATCTGAATACATTGTGTTGTTATTTGAACATTGTTGTTATCATTTTGTTTATTGTTTGCTGTTTTGTGTTTTTTAATAGAATGATGATAAGGTACAAGAGTTCAGAAAATGATTGGTTAAATCACCTGTATGATATCAAAGAAAAATGGTGTCCGGCATATTCAAAGGATTATTTTTCGGGTGGAGTTGTGTCATCCCAAAGGAGTGAAACAACAAATCACTCGGTTTCCAATAAATTGAACAAAACAGATGGTTTGTATGACTTTTATAGTACTTTTCTTGATGTTATATCAGAGTGAGGAGTAAAGAAAGTGAGCAAGATTTCCGTTTTTTGAGGGGTAACCTTCATCTTGCAGTAGCTAATGTTAGTTTGCTCATAGACGCTAGGGAGATTTTGTAACACCCCAAAATCTCCCTCTACGGAAATACTAGTATAATACGTATAATTGTACCGTAGAGATAGACATGGGCATATTACCGCCGCGTGATTACGCAAGGCTACGTACTCATACTACTAACCAAACCAATACTTTGCAGCGGAAACTCAAACTCTTTCTCTATTAATAATAACTATAAGTAGAAACCATCGTCATGAGTACTCATAATTAGACAAAGACCAACAATCCTAATTCTAGGTGAAGAACATTCCCGGGACTCCCATGTGCTCAATTCTTGACTCCACCTGAAATTAGTCAACACTGCTTACCATTACAGTAAACAGTGCGAACCAAAACAAATAAGAAATACGGATTAGCAAAATATGCCAAGTACGATAAGTGCAAAATAAGTAAATTCAATTTATTTGCAAACATGCTTTTAAAACCAATTCCAATAATTAATCCAACGAGTTCCAAAACTCATGATTCAAAACCAATTCCAATAATTCAATAATTCGATGAAACGATTTATAAAACCAATTCCTCTTTTCAATAAATCAAACTTTATAACAGAATAACTCAAAAACTCCTTTTGTATTTAATTCAATAAGCTTTTAAAATCTAACCTTTTTAAAACATGATAAATAATTTTATTCAAAACATGATATAAAATCAATCCTCCAATTTATTTATAAAAAAAAAAAAAAAAATCTTTAAATCAATCCAACATATTTTCTTAAAAAACCAAAATCCTTTAAACAATATAAATAATTTTAAACTATTCAAAACATGATATAAAATCAATCCTCCAATTTATTTATCAAAACCAATTTTTTAAACATGCTTTATTTCATAAATCATAATTCAAATAAATTTAATTCAATTACCAATAAAATCATATAAAACATGCTATTCAAACCAATCACTTTCGAAGGTATCTAGCCACCTAAACGTACCTTGGTTCCGAATATCAATCAACACTTCGCACTTTCAAAGTTCAATCACGAATACACCTTGCAATTAACATAACCATAAGGTTATCACAACATCTTTAGACATAAACCCAAATCTAATGTGCATGGACTATAAAACTCTTTTAAAAATAATAATTTAATATAAAATTATAGCTTTGAAATAAGTATTTATATTTTAGAAAACTAACCATGAAGAAAATAAAGGAATAGGACTAAAGAGAATTGGAGTTGCGTTGGAAAGAATAGGCAGAACTTGTAGAGGTCATAACTCCTTCAATATAACTTCGAACTGGGTGATTCTTGAGCCTAACCTCAAGGATTGTTTGATAGAAACAATTATTTGTGAAATATAAAAACCCCAAAACTGAACAAAAGTGCCCAAAAATTGGTTCCAAAGATATACGGGCTGATTTTCTTTAAGAAAAGAGGAGAAGAAAAGTAGGAAAAGGTTGAGGGAAAAGAAGAGTCAGAGAGAAGAAGAGAATTGAGTTTTTGCTGTGAAGAATTTGAGAGGTATAAGGGGGTATTTGTAGGCTAGCTCATGCAAGAATTATGGTAGGAGAATATAGGAAGAATTATGGTAAATTGATTTAAGGAAATTACTTGGAGAAGAGAGCTAAAGAATTATGGAAAGTCTAGGTTATGGTGATTAAGTAATGAAGAAATAAGGTAAGTATGTAGTCATGAAATATTAAATGGTAAATGGCTTTTCTTGGGGATTAATCAAGAATGATTTAAGGTAGGGAAATAAGATGATTAAATATTTAGGAGAATAATAGAATTGAGGAAGATAATTAAAATATAAAAATTACCAATATAATTTTGCTTAAAATACAATATGGTGGCCGAAAATTTGAGCTTTCCTAAGATCATATTTTCCGATCTCCCTTTAAATATTTAGGAAATTATTTTGCTAGTTTTTAAGGAATAAAAATGATTGTGTAAATAATATATTTTGTAGAAAATAATAAATTAGAAAAATTTCAATTATTCACTAACTAATTTAACTAAGAAAATTAGGTTTTCTACACTTAGAAAATCCGAAAATCCTAGCTAATTAATTAGGGAAATTCGGCCCTTTTAAATTAAATAATAAAATATAATTTTGCTTAATTAAAATATCCGAAATATATATAAATAATTCGGTTTTTAAAATAAAATAAATGGATAATTCAAAATCCAAAAATAATTAAGTTTTAAAATACTTTTGGCACCAAAATTCAAATATCATTTTGGCTCCAAAATTCCAATAGTAAAATAAATTACTAAAATACCCTTTTTAGAAAATAATAATTAATTAATTAATTAGAAAATACGTTTTAAAAATACGGGGTATCACAGATTTATGCTATTTCGGTGTATGTTGTTTTTAGGACCAATTTGCAAAAAGGATTTCATGTTCTCAAGAGTGGAAGCATGAAGATGATGAGACTATTTGTTATTATGTTTGGAGGCCAAATAAGGACATCATAAGGCATGAAGTTACTTATGAGAAATTCACCTTCAACATCAATTGCACTTGAAAGTATTGGAGTGAAATGGGGTTGTTATGTGCACACTCTCTTCATATATATGATATTCATTGTGTTCAAAAGATTCCAGAGCAGTACATAGTGAAGAGGTGGACTAAGAAGGCTATGTGTAGCTATGTTGTTGATGAACATAAATGTGAAGAGGTTAAAGTTGTTCCTTCTGCTGTTTGGAGAGTTCAAATGCTTAGAAAGTATGTTTAGATAGTGACATCATGTCAAGATGACCTTGTAGCAAGAGCTGGAGTAGAGTACACTTTTGATATGTTACGTGAAAAGGTGGAGAGTATTATGGGTCCAATTGAGTTTGAAGATGGTGAAGTTGGTTAAGAAGGTAATGAAGATGCTAATGAAGAAGTAAATGAAGAAATGTTTCCTATAAATAATCCAAAAATAGCTAGGAAAAAGGGTGAGAGAAATTACAGGCCAAAAAGTACTATTGAGAAAGCGTGTAATAAAGGTAAAGCTAAGGGTTGGGAAAAGAAAGTAGATAAATATAAAGATGAAGCTAGAGCTACTGTTGAAAAACCGGGTAATTTTGAACTCTTTATCTTTTTTCTATACTCCTTTCTCTTATAACTGAGCATTTAAGGATTTTATTTTATTTTGCATGTTTTAGATGGTGATGGAGATCCTTTGATTTATTCACATCCAACAGAAGGTTCAAATCTCTTTGTACTTTCAAAGAAAAAGAATGTTCAAAGTAAAAACAGTACAACTTCAACAAATGCTTCTCAACCATCCTCAACAAATGTAAGGATTTTATTGAACATATTGATTATTTATTTGAACATTTTTTATAAAAAAACTACTTTACATTTCATGTGTATTTTTAGGTTTTTGGTAGGGGGGTTAGAAGTGGTTCTCAAGCTGCAAATAGAAAAGGATGCAAAAATAGTAACCCTTCAACTAATTCTCAGTAATCCTCAGCCAATATAATTATTCTACTGAACTTATTTTGATTTATTTTGAATATTAGGTAGTAACTTTTAAACATTTGTTAATTTTGTAGGTTTTTGGTGGTGAAGCTTCAAACAAGTTTGCAACAACTAATGTCTGTCACCATCCTCAGCAAATATAAGTATTTTATTGAATATATTGATTTTTTATTTGAACATTTTTTTTATGAAATAACTTCAAATAACTTTTACTTTGGTGGGGATCTTATAACTGGTTCTCAAGCTATAAATAGAAAAGGATGCAAAAATAGTAACCCTTCAACAAATGCTACTCAGCAATCGTTAGCCAATGTAATTATTCTACTGAACATTTTGTAATATGTTTTGAGCTTTAGTCAATTAATTTTGAACATTTGTTAATTTTGTAGGTTTTTGGTGGTCAAACTTAAAATAACTTTGCAGCAACTAATGCGCAGCCTTCCTCAGTAAATGTAATCTCCTTACTCAATATAGTTTAGTGTTTTGTGAAATTTATTAATTTATATTTGATGTTTTCATCATTATTTTTGTAGTTTGTTAGAAGTGGTTCTCAAGCTAAAAATAAAAAAGCTTCAACAAATGCTACTCAGCCACCCTTAGCAAATGTAATTATTTTATTGAACTTTTTTAAATTTGTTTTGAATTTGAATAAATAAATTCTGAACTATTGTTAATTTTGTGTAGGTTTTCAATGGTCAAGCTTCAACTTACTTTCCAGCAACTGTTGCTCAGCCTTCTTCAACAAATGTAATTTTTTTTACTGGACATACTCAAGTTTATTCTGAACTTCTAATACTAAAATCCGAATGTTTTATCATTTTGTTGTAGGTTTTTGTTGGTGGGGTTAGAAGTGGTTCTCAAGCTAAAAAAAGGAAAGTATCTGAAGTGAATTATAAAAAAGGCTTTCGATATGAGACTAGTACATGGTTTCAAGTAAGTATGAACATTCTCTTTGTTAATATTGAATGTTTGCGTTTCCATTTTGAACTTGTGTTTTCTTATTATTGTTCTTATAATTTTTGTGTTTTTAGTATTTTGATGTTGGTCGCAATGCAAAGAATGAAGGGTCTCATGCTTCTGGATCTTCTAATGTTTCAAATTATGATGAAATGTTATCAATGTTTGACAAGACAAGTAATACATAGATTTATTATTTTTTTGATTAAAATTGTAATAATATACAAATTCTTATTAGTTTTCTATATATAAATCTATTTTTTCATTGTTTTTAAATTTATTATATTATTATTATTATTATTATCAATGGTTTATGTATCAACAAAAAGATTGAACAAATAAGGTATAAAACGAACAACTAGACTTGAATATTTGAACATAAGCTTAAAGTAAACAGTTACTACAAATTTAACATATAATCTCAATCCCAAATTTAACAACATTTTTCTTTCAAACTAAAAATTCAAACATACTTATATAAAACCACAGTTTCTTGCAATGTAATTAAATCTAATCATTAATTCTCCTCAATCTTTCTTCTTGCGGCCATCTTCACTCTGTATCCTTCTCTGTTGGTGTTGCTTAGAATTATTTCTACACAATATTTCACCCTGAGCTTCCGAATTTGATCAATCTAATTTCATAAAAATGAACATAAGATAAAAAGTTTTGAACATATATAGAAAACAAATGAACATACTTATAATTATGAATAAGATTGTTTAAAAACTTACATCATTAGCTACCAAGTCACAAGCCCACTCTACCAAAGGTTCTGTGGTGTATGTCCCCATATGTTTCATCAAGTAAACACCACAATCTTGATGATCCCAATTGCTTCTCCATTTCATCTTAATCAAATCAGTTTTGAAACTCTTTACTTTATTGATATCATCATCTTTGTAATTTTTAATTCGTAGAAAATATGCAAAAGCTTCAAGTTGAAATATGAAATTGATTAATATCTTAACTCTAAAATTGAATTTGCTGAACGCAGAACAAAAGTTAATTGAACAAAGCAAAATTAGTAATTTATCATTTTCTGGGGATTATCTTCATATTTGTGACTTGCTTTCATATGCATTGGTAGCTTTCTGTTATCAATCAAGTCGATTGATGTCATTGTACATGTTGATGCACATTAAATAGTAGTGTTTAGATGCAGCCACAGGAAAAAAGAATTGCATAAAATCCCTTGTCCTTTGAATGTCACTGTTTCTCATTTAGTAGTGCAACCTTTGTGTAAACTTTTTAAATCTTATTTCTTAGGTAGTGTTTGCATTTTCACCTTTCTCTATGCATACTATCAGCTGCATTTTACAACGTAAAATTATGAACATGCAATATAAGAATAATAAACATACCATTTAAGAAAAATGAACATGCGATATAAGAATAATGAACATATAATGTAAAATAATGAACTTGTAAAATAAAAATGAACATTTTGTTGAAGAACTTGCTAAACATAATCTAATAATATGAAGTATATTTACTTACATATGGCATTTTGGAGAAGTAAAGGTCGTGTTTTTTGCCCTTAATGGTCAGAATATGAGCCTAAGCATCAATAACGGTAGTGTCGACTTCTCCATCTGTTCCAAGTGTCTTCATTTCAACTCTGTTGATACTGTTTTCTCCATCATGGTACAGAACCTTACTACTAAAACAAACAAAAAAAATAAATTAAATGTTGATAAAAAAAATGAACAAATAAATTTATGAAAATTGTTAATTAATTTCTAAACAATATAAACTAAGTTATGAACAATAGAGTTTAAAGACAAAACTTACTCATCAAGACCATCACTGAATGCATAATCAAAAAGATTGCATTCATTGCATTAACATTTTTTAACAAATCTTTGTATTTAATCATGAAGGGGGATTTGAGACAAACAGGAAATTTTGTAATTTATCTTCTTAGTCTTTTGTTTGCCTCAACATCCTGTGCTTCTTTTGGTCTAATTCAACAAACATTAAATTACTGTTAAGGTTTTTTGAACAATACAAGTATATTTATAAGCAACATAGGTTATGAATATGAACATTACATCTGTGAACAATGCAAGTATATTTGAATAATAAAGTAAATTTTGATGAACATTATCATTAATATCTTATTAGACAGTTACCCCTTTGATTTTTCAGAAACTATCTCTTCTTTCTTTGTTCATGCTGCTTCTTTAGATATGTAGATTTTAACAATACATTATAGACATATGAGCTTCCAATACAAATAATATTTTAACATTGAAACTTAATATAAAAGTTATATATATATATGTTCTTCTTCTAATTTCATTCAAAAAATTACACTAAATTCCACGCTAATTACATTAGTTCCAAAAAATTTACATTTCTTATACTACACTAGTTGTCCAAAAAATTACAATATATTAGTGATGTTCTGATAGAATAACATTACCCTTTGTGATACTGAAAATCTTTTGACAATGGGTTGTTCAAAATATCAACAAGTGTTGCATTGGTGGTCTCTAATAGGCCGGAAAACTCACTTTGATCAAACATGTCTTCAAAAGGCACATGCATCGACCCTCCAACCATATCACCTTCTGCTTTCCCACCTCCTACCATATCACTTCCAGCCAAATTACCTTCTTCTTTTGTACCAGAACCTAGGGTAAGGGTTAGGTCAAGTGTTCTCCCAACTGTAGCATTTCCTACTCCCATTTGAGATCCACCTCCTATTTCAACTTCTTGTGGGGCAGAGATCTCTGTAGGTGTTTGAGAAGGAGATTCACCAATCCCCAAGTTCCAAGCATTTGCGGGGTCAAATGCATCCCTGATTTTCTGTTTTCCTTTTGCTGCTGCCTTTGCAGCTTCTCTTTTCTCAGCTTGCTTCTTTTCCAAGTACTCTCTTTCAAATTGATCAATTGCTTTTAAGAAAGACTTTGTCCAAAGATCTCTTCATCTTGACTTAATGTAGAAGGATCATTCAATCTCTTCTCAATAAGATCTTCAACAGTTTTGATAAGAAGGTTGTTTGGAAACAACTCTTTTGTAATCTTCTACTTTTCAGCTATTTTTGACACACAGCCTCCTAAATTCTTAACCAAATCAATAAATTCATCCATA